TTGCGCATGCGCAGAAGTACTGCGCATGCGCAAATGAGTCGCAGCCGCGAAAACGTGTGGCGAAGGTTGCGGGTGGAGGCAGCAGCAGGGGTTGGCGGGAGCCGGTAAGTGGTGGTCCATGGGCCAGAACCTGCCCGAGGGCCGTAGGTTGCTGACCCCTGGTGTAATGCTTTGAATGTTGAACTATGACTTGAGACCAGGGTTTGAATCCCTACTCAGCCCTGGAAACCCACTGAATGACCTTGGGAGAGTCACACTTTCTCAGCTTCAGAGGATGGCCTTGGCAAACCGCCTCTGAAGAAATATAAGGTTCATCATAATTTTTAAAAAAATGATTTGGAGGCAGAGAGGGTGACCAGATGTCCTAACTGCAAAGGAGGACAAGGCACCTCAAAATGTAAGACGTTCAAGAAAAATGTTGGACATGAACCAATAAAAGCTATAAACATTCACAGAAATATAAATTCATGCTTTTTAGTCAAAAAGCTCAAAACGGAGCACATTTTGGAATTCTTCCTGGACAGAAGGGTGAAATGTGGGGGCATGTCCTGGAAAAGGAGGACCTCTGGTTGCTCTGGGCACAAAACCACTGCAAAGGTATTGATGTGTTTCTGGTTCCCAGGTCCCATAAGCATTTCTTCACATTTCTGGTAGGTAAAGTTACAATCATATCAAAGTAAATGACTAATCAACAGGAGCCTCAATTCTTCTTAATGCAAAGACTGGCATATTTTTTTTTAATTGATATACAAATAATAACATTGTGAAGTCGTAGGCTTTCATGGGCGGCATCAATAGTTTTTTGTGGGTTTTTTCGGGTTGTGTGGCATGTTCTAGAAGAGTTCTTTCTGATGTTTCGCCAGCACCTGGCTAGCATCTTCAGAGAATAGAATTGACCAATCAAGTTTCCATTGATTTAGCGGATCTACTCTATATACTTGGTTATAAATCCATCTCATATAAGATTGGGATTTGGGGCCAAAATTAGAGATTTTGATATGATTCATGGAGAGTTCTAGGATAAAACTTAGGGGCATATAATAAAGGATGTAAAGGTTAAATCAAAGGAAAACAATGGCAAAGAACTCACAAAATTCTGGCAGTTTTGTGTAAGCGGGCTGGTGCTTCTTTTAGGTGCTCCTAGGATGGATTCAATTCTTGCTTTTCCCAAAGCTCTGTTGACAGAGGAGGATAGTTCCTTTTAAAAATAGAAAAAGAGTTAAAGTACAGGACTTAACGCTGGCATCGGGGCAGAGTGGGGGCATGGCAACCGCCCGAAGCATGTCCCAATGCCAGCATCCCGACACCCTTTTCATTGCCAGATTGGGGCCATGGCAACTGCATGTTGTGGCCCTGATCCAGCGCTTTGCTGGCCCAAAAAGGGACGGCAAAATCCCGCTTCTTTTTAAAGCAGCGAAAAGTAACTTTTTAAAGCAGAGGCGGCTTTTCTGGATTTCTTTAGCACAGTGCATTTAAATGCTGTGCCCAAGAAATGGCATCACATTGCCTGCTGGGTGGACGGGCAGGCAGGTGGGCAGCGTGATGCTGGCATTGGGGCATGTGGCAGGTGGTTGCTATGCCCCCTACTCTGCCCTGATGCCAACGTTTAACACCGGTCTGTTTAGGCCCTTACATTTATTTGTGGATAAGTCGTCCCAGGTTTTTTGAGTCAGTTTTTTGGCTAAAATTTCTAGACTTATACATGAGTATATACAGTACTGAGGTTGGGATTCATAATTGGATTTGGGCCTGTATTTAACTTTCCTCAGAAGAGAGGACCACCAAATTCAAGAGGATGACTGGAATCCTGCTGGTGAGTTACGAATGTATAAGCACTGTAGTTATGGTGCTACATAGTGACTCCTGTCCTGATCCCCCAATCCCCGCTCACTAGACTAGAATTGATGGGAGTCTGCTCCCCTTTTGATCGGGAAACAGCTGTTTGACGTTCACATTCCCTCCCATGAGTGATCTCCAATACAACAGGCAAAAGCAGGGTCCCTGTCATAATTCCCTATTGCAATTCTTGCACTGGAGATCTCTCATGCAAAGGGAGTGGGTGGGACTGACGGCTAGCTGCTTCCCAAATGACCAGGAAATAGATTCTCACTGAGTGCATCTGCTTTTGCTCAGTAACTGAGAATCTGCACTTCCACAGTCCCTAAACCAGGGGCTGAAGAGCCAGCATGGCATAGTGGTTTGAGCATTGGACTGTGACTCTGGAGACCAGGGTTTGATTCCCAGCTAGGCCATGAAACCCATTGGATGATCTTGGGTAAGTCACATGCTCTCAGCCTCAGAGGAAGGCAATGGCAAACTTCCTCTGAACAAATCTGCCCAAGAAAATCCCATGATAGGTTTGCCTTAGGTTTGTCATGAGTCAGAAACAACTTGAAGGCACACGACACACACAAACAAAGCAGGTTACACATTCGTAACTGCCTAGTAATATTCTGACCGATATCTTTTCAATAGGCTTTCCAGATTGGGTTGGGGATGGGGCTCCTTTAACTTAACAGACCTTAGAATAGAACAAGGTGCCACAAGCTCAGTCAAATGGGATGAAAGTACCTGATCTGCTGCACCTTTCCAAATCCTAGTTTTCAGCTGTACCTGCCTACTCCGAAAGACATGGGTGCTCCTCCACGCCCTCCCTGCCTTCACCGGAGAGGCAAGAACCATGTTGGGAGGGGATAGCAGTGGCTAAAAGTTGGGATTTGCAACGTGGCGGAAGCCAAGTACCTTCATCCCATGTGATGGAGCTTAATCTATCTCCAAGATGTGTTAAGGATTAAGGTTACAGGAGCCCTTCGGCCAGGTCCAGGATGGTAACCCTACTTTTGAAGCATCATTCCATGAACTGATATTGTATTCCTCTTTCCCCCCCGAACTGGGATTGAAAGCGCCTTACAGTTTAAAAGCACAGTATAATTACAAACTTACAAAACTGACAATTAAAATAGAATTGAACCATTACAATATTCAAACAGATCACTTGCTTAAAAATAGAATACTCCTTTTTAAAAGGAGTGATTACATGAGCAAGTATAACAGGATCGGTTAAAGCAAAATGTTATCGAGAGTCACTACTTTGAAGGAACTATTATATTTTGCAGAAATGCTAGCCCCAGTGAATTCCCTTCCTTTCAAATCACACACACCCAAACCCCTATGGGATGCTGATTTATCCATGTTCAGCTTTGGTGATGCTTTTTTTATTATCTGAAAGGTACTTACATTTCCTTCCCCAAAGGGAACAAAAGTAGCAGTTCTGTGGGGGAGGATTGCACCTTCTTCCTCCTGTATCTGACTAAATGTTGAACTTCCAATTTCTGCCGTTATTTTTTTTTCTGCACCTCATTTGATTCCTCCACCTTCATTGCCAATGTAGCATAGTGGTTAGTCTGTAAAACTTGGATGGGAGACAAGGTTCAGTACCTGGTCAGCCATGAGGCTCCCTCAATGACTTTTGGGCCAGCCATACATATGGCTGCATCTACACCTCAGAAGTAATGCAGTTTGACACTGTTTTAATGCTATGGAATTTTGGGATTTGTAGTTTCGTGAGATATTTAGCCTTCTCTGTTAGAAATATGTGGTGCCACAACAAACTACAGTCCCAGGATTCCATAGGATGGAGCCATGAGAGTTAAAGCATTATCAAACTACATTAATTCTACAGTGTGGATGCAGCCATACTCAGCTTAACCGACTATACTATCAGGATAAAATAGTAGTGTCTGTAGTTTTTTTGTGGTTTTTTTGGGCTGTGTGGCCATGTTCTAGAAGAGTTTCTTTCTGACGTTTCACCAGCATCTGTGCATCTCTTCTAGAACATGGCCACACAGCCCAAAAAACCCACAAAAAAACCCTATGGATGCCGGCCATGAAAGCCTACAACTTCACATTAGTAGTGTTTGGCTTGAACTTTTTTCTTAGCAGGGAGGGATAAGATATATAAATATAATACAGATAAATAATTCCCTTCTAGCAGTGTTTGTTGCTCTGTGCCTTCAAGTCATGTCCAACTTATGGAGACCCTAAGGCAAACATATCACAGGGAAATTTTGGAAATATTTGTTGAGGAGTTTTGCTTTTGCCTTCGTCTGAGGCTGAGAGTGTGTGACTTGCCCAAGGTCACCCAGTGGGGTTCCATGGTTGAACAGAGATTCACGTTCCAGAGTTTTAATCCAATGCTAAAACCACTACACCATGCTGGCTATTAGGCAGTGTTTGTTGTTAACTGCGCTCGAATCAATCTCAAGCTATGGCAACCCTATGGATGAGACATCTCCAAGACCCTCTGTCCTCCACTGCTCTGCTTAATTCCTGCAACCCCTTCATACCCGTGACCTCCTTAATAGAGTCCATCCACCTGGCATGTAGCCTCCCTCTCTTCCTACTTCCCTCCACCTTTCCCAGCATTATTGTTTTTTCCAAAGAGTCCTCCATTCTCATGATGTGCCCGAAGTACGACAGCCTCAGTTTGGTCATCTTGGCTTCCAGGGAGGTTTCTGGCTTGTTCTGCTCTAGGACCCACTTGTTTGTCCTTTTGACGATCCATGGGATCCTCAGCACTCTTCTCCAGCACCACATTATCTCAAATGAATGGATTTTCTTCCTATCATCTTTCTTAACTATCCAGCTCTCACATCCATCCATGGTAATAGGGAATACAATGGCTTGTATGAATCTAACTTTTGTGCTGAGTTGTATATCTTTGCATTTTAGAATCTTTTTCTAGTTCTTTCATAGCCTCCCTCCCCATTCTTATAAGCTTATTGCACGACATTTAAGGAATGGGAACAGAAAGGAATGGAACGGAACAGAACAAGGTAAAAATGCTTATTACTGGACAGGAGAACGCCACTGATGCTGCCAGGAGTCCCCAAGTCATTCCCCAGCCGTTCCTGGCAGCTGATTTTTGAAGGACGGATCATTCTTCAAAATCGGCTACCAGGAATGGCTGGGGAATGTCTTGGGGACTCCCGGCAGCATCAGTGGCGTTCTGTCCAGTAACATGTGTTTTTGCCCTGTTCTGTTCCTTTCCATTCCTGTTCTTGTAAATGTCGTGCGATAAGCTTATTAGTCTTCTTCTAAGTTCCTGACTGCAATCCCCATTTCTATCAATGGCCCTTTACAGAGTGCCAGAAATAATGCAGCTTGAGACCACTTTAACTGTCCTGGCTCAGGCCCATAGTTGCTTAGGCAGTGTAGTTCTCTGGAAATAGCTTTGCTTTTTTGTGATACTTAAGATATTTTGGTGCCCTCTACAGGTCTTTCATGTTACCTGGACCTCTGTTGCAAAGGTGTGTGCCAACAATTACAATGTCCATTAAGACGTGCATATGTATGCTTTAGGGACCTCTGATCACTTGCCTTAAAACCACGCTGAAACACTTCAGCAATTAAAGCCAGTAAAACCAGCACATAGTTAGACCAAGTTTAAATAAAGACAGTATTCAAGATAGTAGAGTTTCAGATTTTATATACCTTATTTTCCTGCGTATAAGACTACTTTTTTACCTGCAAAATCTGTGGCTAAAGTGGGGGGGGTCGTCTTATACGCCGGATATAAGGATAATGAGGATAGAGGTGCTAAAACTCTATATTTTGACTGGGAAAATGGGGGGGTCATCTTATACGCGGGTTGTCTTATACGCCGGAAAATACGGTATATATATATATATATATATATATATATATATAGAGAGAGAGAGAGAGAGAGAGAGAGAGAGAGAGAGAGAGAGAGTTGAAAGTATAAAACACCAACAACAACCCATCCAAGTTTTACAGACTAGGGAGGAAGTCTTTTTTATTTAAGAATGAGATAATGTTATGGTTGTATTATGTCTGATGATATGTTTGTTAAAGACTGAAGAAAGGGATGTAACGAGAAGAATGTATGAATAGAGAGATTTGTTATTGTGGAGATGTTTTAATGTTGAAATAAGAAATAAAGAATATTTGTCAAAAATAAATAAAAATAAATAAATAACGACAAAATTATTCCAATCAGGCTTCCAAGGGAAGAGCATCTCACAACTGGGGTGCCATGGCTAAGAAAGCATCTCAGTTCTGCACATGGTATACTTTTCCTAGTTAGTGACAACTTACTTTCACTTCCCACAATTCATATGAGTCTAAATTTATTGTAGTCTTATAGGTTGGGGTAGGCAACTGTGGCCCTAGAGATTTCACCATTGGCTACATTGGCTCAATCTGATGGGATTTGTAGTCCAACAACAGCTAGAGGGTCATGATTGCCAGCCTCTAAGTGAGGCTTTCTGAAACCCTGGATTTTGAATGTGTTATGTTAATGAAAATTTATTTTAGTCAACCAGGTTTAATTTCAGGATTGGCTAATTGCGATGAGTGAAGGGTTGTTGTCTTGCTTGCTTGCTTGCTTTTAGTTCAGCACCACTTCCCCTACTAAATTGCAAGTCAAGCTCTGAGGTTTCGAATGGTGTTTGCAGTTTTGGGGAAAAACCAGGGAGGGATTGAGGAAGCTGCCAACCCCCCAAATGAAACAAAATGCCTGGGTACATGTGCTCATCATCGACCTCATTCCCACTTACATTTAAACTGGTTTGCGATTCGCCTTCGCTCCGTATCAGTGAATCCGTTCCAAAAGGTCCATCATTCCCACTATGAAAGTGGATCTTTTCATTATTCTCTTGCAATCATTTCTTTCTTTTTTTTTTTTTTTGGCATGATTGTTGTTCACAATAGTTTGCACACCTTCAAAATGCATGTCAATCATCTGCGCGTCATCGGTGATGCAAGCGGCAACACAGTGAGGATGCGGCCATTCTTTTCTGCAAGCCATTATCAGCCTTGGGGAAAGTTGTGGGGAAGAGAGGAAAATCGGGGGTCTCTGCCCCCCTTTTTGCAAGCCTTGGGGAAAGTGATGGGGAAGGGAAGAAAATTGGGGGTCTGTGCCCTCCTTTTTGCAAACCTTGGGGAAAGTGATGGGGAAGGGAGCTACATTGGGGGCCTGTGCCTTCCTTTTTGCAACCCAACAGCCTTGGGGAAGTTGTGGGGAAGGGAGGAAAATTGCCCATAGGTCACACTGCAAAGCCAAGGTAGCACTGAGAGGGGAGAAAAATGGCTGATTTCCCAAAAACTGAGGCAGGATGGTAAACACCCCTCTGCCAACCCCCTCTGCCATAATTCCCTCCTCTCCAATATGATCTGATTCAGATCCGTTATTCCCACTTGTTGAACACACTTCTGGATTAGTTCTTTTCAA